TGAATAACTGAGTTCAAATAACATGCTACACCAAAACTAAAAAGCTGCGATATGCCTAATGGTTATTTCAGAATAAGAAAAGCTGAAATGATTTTACACTCTTAAAAAAAAGTTATATGGATCGATAATAATAATATATTAAAAGTGTACAACAACCAATCCTCAGCAACCCTGGGTGTGGTTTTGTAATATTCCTTATAAATATAATTCTTTAGCGCCTGTAATTCATATTTAAGAGGCTCAGTTTGGTGTAGTGGTCAAAGGCACCAGGCTAGAAACCAGGAGACCGTGAATTCTAGTCCTGCCTTAGGCGTAAAGCCAGCTGGGTGCCCTTGGGCCAGTCACTCTCTCTCAGCCCTAGGTAGGAGGCAATGGCAAACCACTTCTGAAATCTTGCCAAGAAAACTGCAGAGACCAATCCAGACCGTCACCAGGAGTCAACACTGACTTGAAGGCACACACACAAATCATATATCAGTATAATACAATATCATAGACATTTTGACAGAACAGAAAGTTTAATTACTTCTTTGGGAGATGCAATACACATCAAGTGACACAGTGAAAAGTAATTTTCTTGCTTACATGTTTTTTCCTGTCTGATTTGTACAGTGTGAGGGAAATCCTAATCCCCTTTCAGCTCAATGAATGCTGTGATTTTCTCTGTTTCTTCTCCCTTCAAGAAACATGGAAGAGGAGAAGTATCTACATCAAGAGTCTTGTGATGATTTTCTCAAGGGATCTTTACCAAATGGTATGACTCAGCTTCCCCGGGGATTCCTTCTGATGGCCTCTTGTGATGTTGAGTGTAAACTGCAAGCAGCACATTTAGTTAATGGAAAAAGATGCAAATATATCCAGTGATGTCGAGCCAGACAAGATGTAAAACGCAAGAACCACATTTTCTTCCCCCTCCTCCTCTTCAAAGTAGCACCAGAGGACCCCATGTGGTCTAGTTTTTCTCTCGTTATGTCTGTGCGGATGTCAGACATAATGGTACAGTAACAGTTGGGTGAAAAGTCAGTTCCCTGTCTCTTCTAGTGGTAACACCTTTCCTGCTCTAGAACGGCTGGTAGCTGTCTTATTCTGCCCTGCAAGCAGATTCCTGCGTATGAATCGATACCCCAGAAGACTGAGTCTTCACCTGAACAAATAAAGCTCAAAGTACTGCAAGGAAATAAGGTGAAACTGAACCACTGCCTTCCATCCCCAAATATCAGACCTCAAAACAAATCAAAGTTCCCCACTCCTTGTCTGCCTCCATTACTATATTCCTAGCAAATAGTATTTCCCATTTAAGGATGAACAATTTGGGGGAAAACAGTTGTTCTTTCAAATAAAAAAAGGAAGCCAGTTTCTGAGACTGTTTGATCCCTGTAAGTCAGATGCATTAAACTGGTTCAGACATTGCACCAAGCTATAATATGGCTTGTTTCCTTTTGGCTTACTGTGTTGCAGTTCCTAAACCATGGTTAACAGCTTGGCATGATGTGTGAACCCAGATAGTTGTGATTTATTCAAACAAGCAAGGTTTAACACAATGTGAGAACCACGTCTTTAAAAAAATATCCACCACTCTTGTAGATAAATGCCAACCAGACAAAAGCAGTGAGTTATAAGTTGGATGCTAAGCCCCAAGACAGAGGTTAGTAATGAGATTCCCATATTTAGTTGGCAGTGTCCAAACTGACAATATTGCACATGACTTCATTTGCTATTGTGTCATCTACAGAGCAAACAAAAAATAAAATTTTGACCACCCCAGGCCTTTTCTCCTCTCTGTCTGTGGACACTTTTGAACAGATCCTTCCTACATCGTGTGTATGTAGGGATGGGGGGGGGGGGAACCAATCACTGCGAGAAAGAGATTGCAGAGAATATCCTTGACAGCTCAGTTGGGAAGTAAAGCTACTGTCCTTAGGCCATGAAACTCTTGCTGCAACTTAAATCTTTTTAGGAAGGAGGAAGAGCTATGATTGAATTACTACAGACACAACTATCCCTTAGAACCACTTGAAAATGAGATTAGTTGGTTCTAATGAGAGAAGGATCCATAATGGGCACCTTGATCTGCCAGAAGGTACCTTACTGAGGAGCAAACATACCATTTTTCTCTACTTACATATTGAGGGATGAGCCCTTCCCGTATTACCTGCTGGCCGAGTTTGTACTAGACCTCACAAATCAGCCAATCCTATTTTAACCTAGTTTGGGTGGTTGGCTCATGATTCAGTTGTGTTATGAAAACTCAGAAAGTTTAAGTAAACCGTGGTTCAGTTAACCACGAATAACCATGCCATTACAAATAAATCAGCAACCATGTGCTTGCAAGCCACTTTGAGGGCAATCTTTAAGATACGAACTTCAGAGTTGTCACATAGGCAGAATGCACTATTTAATTCTGTTGTGACATTGGTTCGTGCAAGCTGGATACAACTTATTCCCCAACTGGTTCTCCTGCACCACGTTTCCCTCTGTATTCAGTTTGTTTTTATGTGAATAATCACACATTTATTTTTAAACCTGCATTCCAACTGCAGGGACTCATTCCTTTTCAATAGATCTTTAATAATAATAGTTTTATAAGCTAACTCAATGAAATCCGCTTGGGAGACTGAACCCATTCAACACTACTGGAGGCTCTTTGACTAGCACAGGGGAACTTTAAAGTCTGCACAGCATGGCTGATTACCATGTGTGCTCACATTTCAACTAGCCACAATAAACCATGTGTGACCTTTGTAATTCCTTGTTCTTCTCCTGCAATTAGAATGTTGTGTATTTGTGTGTAGCATGGCATTGTATTATAAATAAAAAGGATCATTTTGGGCCACATTCTTTAATGTGTGTCCATGAAGCAGCATTCACATTTGGAAAAATTACCACCACTGCAGAGCCTCAGAAATAAAAAGGCTTCCAGTGGAGACCCAACCCCTGTGTGAACCCAGCCATCGTGATTTGCAAACGGTGAGTTTATTGTTCATTGACTTGTGTAAATGTCATAATCCAAGGATCATGTTTAAGCAAACCACATGTAAATCCACTCAATGTTTTATTTCCTAAATTGATACAGCTGCCCATCTTAAGCAAATAATTCTGGATGGAATGCAGAATGATAAAAACAGCATAAATGCAAGTACAAACACAAACAATAATAAATACAGAAAACAAAAGTGGAGCCACTTCACCTGTTGAGTCAGAAACTCACCTACATGAGGCTCCACTAACAACTTGGCCCTAATACCTGTGAGAAAAGCCAGGTTTTTACAGCCTTCTGGATGGGCAACAGGATCAGACCCATCTAGATCTTAACAACTAAAGATTTGCAAAGCATTTGTTAATATTCAAATGGCTTAAATTCATCTACCATGCAGAACATTCTGGAGATTATGCCATTCCAGGTAGTGGTTTGGCATTTTCAGAAATAAATCCTGAAAATTAGAGGTGGCTTCAAGTGTCCTGGACATAGTATTGAGGATGAAATAGGCCTGTGAGTCAGTGGGGGTTGAGTGACTTCCAGCATTCTTGAAGAAACAGGTGATGTAAATCCATTTCAATCAAGTTTCAAGCCTGGGATGAGATGGAGATTGTTTTAGTTGCTTTTTGGAATTGTCTGTGCCCATTCCTTTCCCTTAGACCAGTGTTTCTCAACCTTCACAACTTTAAGATGAGTGGACTTCAACTCCCAGAATTCCCCAGCCAGCATGGGGAAGTCCACCCATCTTAAAGTAGTCAAGGTTGAGAAACACTGCCTTAGACCTTTTAATGTGGCTTGTTTAAGGATTCCCTGCTATTTTACTTTACAGCTTAATGTAGCTTTCCTTAATTTGATAACAATGCCTATGTTGCATGGAGATCATAGGAGTTGGGGTCCAGTACATCAGGCAGCACATCTGGAGTTGCTTTTTAAAAGCAGAAAAATGGAATGTTTTTAGGAAGTACCATCATCACTGACCACAGTGACAGTAACATTATTGATTGATAAAGTGCCACCATTCAGTGGCAACTCTTAGCAACCACATTACTAATTCTTGCTCCCCTATTTCAGGTAGGGCTCAAGGTGATCTTTCTGAGCATTAGGAATATGTAGTCCACAGAGTTGGATGGCTTCTCTTTCTACTCCATAATGGGATCTCCTTCTTCAGAGGAAAAGAACGAAGTCAATGCCAAAACCTGCCTTTCAGGAATGACCATTTTAGAGCAGTGCTTCTCAACCTTGGCCACTTGAAGAAGTGTGGACCTCAACTCCCAGAATTCCCCAGCCAGCACTTCTTCAAGTGGCCAAGGTTGAGAAACACTGTTTTAGAGACTTTCTGGAATGGTTCATTCCTTGGGTTAGGAAAGAGATCGTGAAAGCCTGGATCCGTTTTCTACTTGCTGGCAGGGAGCGTCGCGTTTGAACCCTCTCCCTGCTGGCAGAGGACGTCATCGGAGAAAGCAGCGGGGCTGAACTTTGGGGGCAGAGTTCCTCCTGCCCCAAGTCCAGCTTCCAAGCAGGGGAGGGCCGACTCGCGTGCTGCGCGGAGCATGCGCGCTGGGGTAGAAGGGAGGGGAGAGGGATGGGGGGGCGGCCGCTGTTTATTTGCAGCTGACCAGGCGGAGAGGCGGCAGAGCGCGAGCGAGCAGCGGCGGGGGCGGTAGGAGCGGCGCCCGGCTTGGTTTTGGGGGGAAGGAGGGGCGGGGCGGGAGGGGGGGGGGGGGGGGGG